CATATTGTCATTCTGCTTTGACATATCCCGTAAGTCTAATTAACTATAAGGAGACGATTTTCACATCATTATATAATTGCTTGCTTCATTGACAAAATATATATCAAATGATTTTAATTTCATTTTGTGAAGTTGAATCCGAAAATATGATTTGATATACTGAAAATTGGTCAATTCGTATGCAAGAGACTTGAACTGAACTGCATTTGTCACAACATCTGATACAAGTCAGGCGATGCAGTATAAATCAAGCAAATCTGTTTCACTGTATTCATTGAATACCATTCAGGTTTCAAATTTGACTCACAGTTACTTGTGAGTAATGGTGTGGGATAATTGGATTTTATTGATTTGAGCTGATTATCCTTCGGACTTCACCTTCACGCACAACTCTCAACTCATGGATTCAGCCATACACTGGGAAGCACTAGACTCGAGTTTCGCTCTTATTGGAGCTCATCAGCAGTGCATATCTACTGTCCCGTCCGGGATTTGAACTCCGGACCCATCACATGGAAGGCGTGTGCGTGTGCAGGTGTCGTCTTTAGTGATAGTCCTTTCATTTTGACCCGACAGCAACGAAGGGAGACAGGTGAGATACTGTTAACTCCAATAGAAACAACCTACCACCGATTGGAGTCTCTTCGTCTTTTTGTCTTTTTACTCTCATCCATGTCTTCACTAGCTGCGTTCCACTCTGGAACATTTTGCAACCTGAAAGGATAATTTTCAGTGATTCACACAACTGGCATTCCCTCAACAAGACACGAGATTGGCTGATCTTCTTTTCCGAAAGTTTGGGACAGTTCCGTTTTCATCTGTTGTCCAGTCGTGTGATGATGGCACTCCTGCTTCACACAATAGCAATCTACATGATTTGGGCAACATGTTATCGATTCTCATCCAAGAAACTCGCTACATCTGACCCATTTCATCGATTACCTGTGTTCATTGGACTAATACAGGAGAACAACGACGAAAATCCACTGCGGTTTTGTGTCACATGGTAACACAATTCCTTCTTTCTGAATAACCACTCTTCGTTGACCGATTAACGCCCTTGATAACTAAGCAAAATGTTCACTGTCCGTGAAGAAACCACAAAAAGAGGCCTATTGAGATTTAGTTTTAGAATCCTTGACAACAGAAACAACATCAGGATTCCGAAATAAGCCAAGGCGTTAACCATTCACCATTATCATCTTTGAGCAAAGAACATAACACTGCAAGCAAGCACGATTTATGTCCGGAATCATTTCGTTGCATCTCAACTGGTACTTACGGCAGAAAAATAGTTTATATATCAATATGGGTGTGAAGCTACCTACGTAGGCAGAACAGAGAGGTAGCTGCCTNAGCTGCCTACTCGAGTGGCCGAACACATGCCGGCATGGGTCGAACGCCAGCGGGTGAGATTGAGCGCTACACAAACAACCAGACCATAAAGCCAATCTCATAGAGAAACTGCGTCATCAATTGCTCGCCATCTGCTGCAGACTGGCCACCAAGCTGATCGTGGGATTTCGTTTCGGATGGTTTACACAACCCCGAATGGACGGCTGCTAAGATTTGCGGAGGCTATAGCAGTCAAGTGCCAAAAGCCCCTACTGTGTCAGCAGAAGGAGGTGTGCATCAGTCAGGCGTTGCCCTGGTGATCAGATAAGCGGAAGAATGAACTGATACCATGTCATATTGTCATCACCTGTGATATATAAACTTGTTTTTCTGCAGTAAGTACCAGTTGAGATGCAGCGAAATTATTCCGGACTTAAATCGTGCTTGCTTGCAGTATTGTGTTCTTTGTTCAAGTTAATTTCGGGAAATAATTGTTTCAATTATCATCTTTAACTGTGTAAATGGATTAGCACTCTGATACTGTGTTTGTGTGACAAACATTTTTGGTGAGTGATGCTGATGATAATCTTTCTCGACCAATTAATTTCTCTTGTCGGACTATACACTAATGATCACATAAAGTGCACTATGCACGTGTACAAATGAACCGATCTGATTCAGCACACGTTATGTAGGCCTGTTTTGGCTTCAAATTCCTAATCAGAGCAGTGTGTAGCATCGCACTGGTGCACTGAGTCCTACCCGAAATTTCATCTGCCATTTGCGTTTGTTGGATGTCATATATCACAGTTTTTTTCTTACATACAGGTTACGGGTTGATTTGCCACAAACCAACTAGGCTGGACTGATAATGCGCATTTAACTCACAGTTCCTGTTTATGAGCACTAATACGAACGAAACTCAGGTCCAGTGCTTCCGAGTGTATGGTTGACTGCATGAACTGAGGACTAGCAATTATCCCACACTACTACTCACAACTAACTGTGAGTTAAATGCGAACCATTAAAATGTTTATGAATGGAATGGATGTGGGTGAGAAATGCATACAGGATTCATTCATGTTTCTGTTTAGCGTGAACCCACCTCTGGTACACAAGCGAATAACTGCATAGTCTTCCTTCGATCCGTGTCCGCGTTGACTGCAACCCGAATAGATGTTCTTGGGACAGCCTAGTTGATACGGTCAATCTACACTGCCCCACAGGTTGCTTCAACCTACACAGGAAGCTGCGATCATGGTCTGTAGTTTTAAACCCTCAGTCGTCTGCAGTAGTGCAATAGAGAATTCGACTTCGGCGATTTAAGGATTTAATTATCGAGTGCACTCAAATTCCTGACGCACCTGTAAACACTAGAATCAAACTTTCATTTTTATTGGGCCTCGTGTTGAATGCTAATCAGTCAGATTCACCCCTGTCTTAAACTGTCAACAAAATGTCACGTCAACTCTAATCACATTCTTTCAGAAGAATCCAGACTTTGATGTCATTTTAGCTCCCGTCCCGTATTTGACCCTCACGGAGTCCAAAATGAATGAGAACACATATCCAACGTAGAACACATGAGAAGCAGTATTGAATGTGCACATGTACAGATAAATTATTGTTTTCAACGCTTCAAATAGGAAAATACCATTTGATGCGTTAACCTTTATCAGCGTCGAATATTGCATGAGTGAACCGCTGATTAATTCCTTCACCGACTGACAGCAGTCAACACTTGATCGCAATTTCACATCTTTTCTGTTACCATACACGGGAGAGGCGACGCAAAGCACAAATTAATCTCCGTTTGTATTTGCTTCATCTGTATCTCTCATGTCCGTTTTTTCGTGGAAATGAAGCGTGGATTAAATAGCTAGAAAATACCGAACGACAGCTTTTTCACCCCAATTGGGTTTATTCAACACGACTGGGGATCGAACTAGAGATCTAACAGGTAGTTCGCGAGCACACTGCCCAAACGATCACTGGTCAATTGATCAGACCAATTTTTAGCTCAAGTTTCATTTTCACGACGAATTTATTACGTAGAATCAGATCAAATTCTCCACTTATCTCATACAATATTTGCTTCCTACCAAATACTCATATGCATTATTTAGGGTAAATTATTTAAACTCGTTGCCCCAGGCATCTTTTTTATTGATAATCACCAATCGATCTTCACGTTTGAGTACGATATTCAACCTAAGGAAATGCGATGATGTCATTTACGTTCCTGTGGGAAGTTGAGAGGTAAGTCTCCCTTACTCACCAAGAGCGACAGAACGAACGGATGACACTCAGTCATCTTCCGTCCTGATCTTATCTGATCCGACAATGTAGCAAACGTATAGCATACATTACCAAAGTCTAGATTTTATGCGCCGCACTTCAGACATTTTCCAGTCCATAATTGCCGTGTGGATCGCTTTGTTTTGGCCCGCATATTGACAAAAATATGTTGTGGGTTACCAATTATTTTCACGGAAATCTACTAAATAGAGACTTGAAACCTATCTTAAAAACCCAAACGTTCCATTAGCCTCAATTCCGGTTAGATAAACTGTTAAAATCACCACTTCAGTGTGATACGAACGGTATTAGTAGTAGTTTTAGTAGTAATAGTAGTAGTAGAAGTAGTGACGATAACAGCAATAGTAGCAATAATAACATATTTGATTTGTTTGTTGGTGTGTTGTTGATGGGCTTAATTACTAGCTTTTCCATATCAATTTTTTCTTCGTTTGATGTGTCATGCTTATATGACTGCTGGCCATTATCCCATCAGCGAGCACAAAGTGATTTTCACTTAACTCAATAAACACGCATGTGTCTGTCGTTGAATATTTTCATTCCACTGAGATTGGCGGTGGTGGTGATCTCTAGTGGATAAGGCCGGCGAAACAGTGATCTGGAGGTCTGGAGTTCGAATACCTCTGTCACCGCACATCTTCCGCATTTCTGTATATTCCTAAACAACCGTGGTTTGGTCGCGGCCCCACCACCGCCACCACCGTGAAAGTTATTTATACATTTGTATACTTAACAGATAATAAAAAAATAAAATCATTTGAAATGAAGCGAAAATAAACTCCAAATGTCTGTACTGATCAGCAGGTTTTAAAAATACAAGAACGCAGCTTGGTGGTTTCTTACACAATTCACGTTAGAATGCAAACCGGTGAGATTAAAGACCAATTTCAATCAAGACAATTCGATTTAAAAACTTTCCACCTGTACCTGCTGAGAATATTCACCTAAAACGTAGGTTTTGTGTATAGTTGTCGATCTGAAATCCCCCTACCCACGTTCCGCATAGTTTTTCACCAAAAATAAATTCATTTAAACAATGGTTTGTTTTGATAAATTACAATCGATTCGGGCATAAGTGCATAGTTACCAATCAATGTTAGCACATGGAACACCGTTATGAACTACGTAATTCCGTCTATTGCATGGTTGACAGTTAATTCACATGTCTACTCTCTTTTGAATTCATCACACGGTTATTTCACCTTACACCTATTTCCTGTAGGGTAAAAGAACGGCACTCCCCTCCCCACACACTCTAAGTTGTACAATCCACCCACAGATTTGAAAATAATGAATATATATACTGCTGTAGTGAGCACTTCGTTTTGGACTATTCCCAAATAACAATGCGCTACATAGGATATTTTCACGTGTGGCTTGCACTGTTACTTGGACTTTACAGTAAGTTTGATTTCATCAGTGATTCACTGGTACACAATTATTTTCTTCGATGCTACATGAGCACTTTCCAACGATTGATTACACTTTGATCGATACAGTTTATCGGCTTTTGTATTACTTTATTCTCTTCATACTTCTCGCTAGGTGGCCGAGTCTTTTCAATCACGATAAAATGGACACCAACTCCACCCCCTGGAGAGGAACGCATTACGGGTGCTAAATGGACTGGGTTTAGCGGTGTTGCTGACGGTTATTTGATAACCACATACACTGCACCATCGGGACCCTTCCCAAATCTGTACACTGTACTGCCGGGACAATATGAAATCACATCCATTCAAATGGTTCTGCAACACCGGGATCCTAACGGTGAGTTTATGCGAAAAGAGCAGATGAATACTGGTTGATTAGGTGATTGACGGTCAAGTGGTAAAGATTACCAACTAATCGCCCCGGTGGTGGTGTCTTCCTGAAAATTGTACCACATTATATGAAAAATTAAATGAAAAACTGCCTATTCCATAATGAAAGAGTACAAAGGAATAAGAGTCGGCAAAGTGACTCACTGCAGTCAATAATGAAATTTTGTATATTACAAACCAAATTAGGGTTTATTCTTTCAAAACAGTTGTATAATTCACTGCTACCAGCAGTCACACAGGGAAATTGCTCAATTGATTCATAAGCCTTGGAGGCTAGAGCTAATTTGATTATAGTTGACTGTTCGTGAGCAGTTTAGAAACCACGGGCCTTGCCCACACGTATGGCGGATGTCAGTTTTATCAACTAGGAATTTCAGTTTCATTTAATTATATGCTCCAAGATGATTTCGATGACCATTTCGAATCCTCCATTGCACCGATGGCACACGTTGGTGACTTGACTAATGCAAATCGATTCAATCTAATTGATTGTGTATTTTAGTGTAGGAACAATCAATACGTATGAAGAAACTATTACGTTTGCATGGGATAATCATTTTACATCAGAATGTTAGCAAACAACCTCGTTTTCCGTGCTACTTGAACTGACTGAATACAGCACAATCTATAACAGATTGGACAGATGATGACAGGAGACATATCAAAGTTTATGAGGAGAAGATATCGTTGTGATTATTGGCGTGTGAAAGTATTGGAGGATTTGATTCAGTTTCATAGGGGAATTCGTGGTGTATAGAACAAATGACGGGTGAAGTGAAAAGCTAGGAATAACTATACAGCTGTTTTGACCTGATTGGGTTACATCAGCATTACGAATCCATCGACCCAACTGAGGAATCGAATGCGGTACCTCACAGGCAGAACGTAATTATGCGACCCACCCGGCCAACGGAGAACTTTTCAGACCTTAGTTGGGTTAGAATGTTTCCCACCAAGTCATTACCCTGGAGGCTAATGCTGAGATGAGTGGGGAGAGACGCCCTCAATGAACTAGAAAAGGTGGGTTGTGCTACACTATGTGAATAGAAAATGAAAAACTGTTTGATTAGCTTCTTTGTAGTCGGGTGGGTGGTATGCTTGCGCTCTGCACTTGAAGTCCCGGTGTTTGATCTCCAGTTAGGTTGATAGATACGTACTGCTAATTAGACCAAACTAGGTCAATCAATATCGATGTACGGTTCTTTCTTGCTTTTCACTTCACGCTTAATTTGCTGTATTTGCCACTAATTTTCCTATGCGGTAATTGGTATGCTTGGTGTGTGTGTATGTGGGGATGGTGGATGAGGGAGGATGGTCTGGAAAAGGTAGCTGCGTGAATCAATGAGTGGTTACGTCACCAGATTCTAAGTGGATGACCGTAGTACGAGCAGTGTTCNTTATAAACTCTTTCTGGTGCCCAGACATAACTGATGTACCACAAAGGGGCTGTGAAGACGGATGACAATCGATAAGGTTCTTGACAAAACTTAAGATCTGACATCATGAATTAACCCTCCCTTGACCGTATGGAGAAGACGAAAATCCTCAAGCATATTGACTGTGTGCTATTTTACCCCAATCTATTCTAGTTAAAATTGGATTCAATCAATCTTTCGATATCCTGACCTATGAGGGGTTTTTCAATCCATGCAAGAGTGTTCTACCGACGGGATGGAAAGTGTGCAAGAAAGGTGTGGTATTTACCACACCCGGTGAAACAATCACGGTAAAATGTGAAGCAGACGCCGCCCGGGCTCAGTACGTGATGGTAGCTCGCGGGTCTCCGGGGTCCACGACGATTGTGGATGGTCCATNNNNGAATAGGCGACCACACATTGTCGCCGGAACCTGTGGATGAAGGGACCGGAGACAACCCATACACTGTGAGTGATGATATTTAGGCGTGTTAATGCGGTGCGATCAAGGAATCCGAGCCATTTAATGGGAATAAGAGTTAAAAGTTGTAATGTTGGTTGTTTTCTTTTCTTACGAGGGAAAGTTACCGTCCGTTTGCTCTTTTTCTGAATAGTTTTTGTAAAACTGTAAAGTCTATATGCAGGATAGGATTATGACGAATTGGCAGTGATTTCAAAGTGAAATCAAGACAAGTTTGATCCTGAAAGTTTTGCGACACACGACTAACCACAGAGGTGAAAACATTTTCTATCACGCAATCACAGTGTCCTCAGACACGCAATTTTTTCGGTTTTAATGCCCAATTTGGTGTACAACATTAGTTCACTTTATTTGGCAATAATTAGCTAGCAGTAGAAAGATCCTTATTCTTTACAATTACTGTTTCAAAAATCCGGAACTTGTTCATACCAGTGTTGCGAGCGACTGACAATGTTTTGCTCATGTACAGTTTCAGTTACCCATTGAACAATTAGAGATAGTTTGGGACACAAACCAGGCATAGCAACACCCTTTATCGACATAAGTGAATCATTATTCATTCAACGGAAAGTTAATCTTTGAACTCAGCTGTCCGTGTGGTGCTATCACAAGTATCCTCTGTTCCAGCCACGAAACTCGGAGGCACAGAAGGTAGATTTACAAGTTGCGCTAAAATATTAAACAGACGTACATAGCGATATTTTTTTCCATTTTTGAGTTATACATTTTGACGAAAGTCCACAAATCACATTGCTTAAGGTGAAACATTTTACTTTGGGAAATATGACCTATTAAGTATCGTTGTCAAAACTGTAGATGAAACAAAAACGATTTTCTAACTCAAATTTTCTCTTTCGCTCGTTGTCTGTTCCATTTTCCAATCAGGCAACACGTAGAGCTATCTTTGATGGAGTGACAGCGTTGGAATACGATCCTTCATGGGTGGAACTCAAGGCCAATGACTCATTGGGCGATGTGGTTCTATGCTGGGATCATGGGCAAGTGATCTCATTGGCTGTAACTCGAGGCCAAGGACGTATATTTGTTATGCAAGGAGAACAATGGGCCGACCTCTCTGAGACTCCTTCCCGTCAACGTCTAAAGGAAAACTTACAAAAGTGGTTCGGAAATGGGGCCAAACCAGACATAATTGACGAAGCGAATCTCAACGAATTACCCGCCGGAAAAATTATACTTTTGAAACGCAAAACTGTATTCGACTTGGAGAAGGTCAAACAGGCTGTTCTAAGTGGAACAAATGGGCTTATTATAGCCTATACCGGAACTACTCGCAAAGATAAAGGCAACACACTGAAGCTCTTTTACGAACTGGGAATTGGAATTCAGAAGACCGGGAAGAGGTACTTTATAAGCACGGTTGATCCAAGTAGTGGAATCACCTCCGACCGATACATACCGGCGTCGGTTGACATGGATCGCAGAATTAAAAGCTGGTCATATTTCTGTTCCAAAGGCCCAAGCGTTGATTACACAGCCCTTAAAACTCAGCATATGGCAGACCTAATTGCCCCAGGTTTTCAAGAAAAACTTAGAGAAATGCTCGACAAATACGCGAAATACTTCGAGGATAGGGCTCCGTGTGAACATTTTCCATTCAAGTGGGACTCCAGAAACCAAAAGTGTTGGATTAACTACAATCTGTGGGCCATGGCTCAGATGACAGAAAATCCGATTGCCTTGTTCGGCACGGAAGAATTCCCCGGTCGAGTTTCTGACGATGCGAAGCCGGTTACGCATCGTGTTAAGGCCAGTCCTCCAATCGCTGGTGCCTTTAATCCTCTTGGGGTGTACGTCGCACCTGGAAAAGTATTCTCATGGAAAGTCATAGAACATAGCAGTGATATAGGCGACTATGGATTCACTTTCGGTTGTCATGCAGACAATCTCAACAACATACCTCTGTGGCAACGCTGGCCGAGATTCATGCACACATTAGAAATGCGTTTGGAGGGCAGATATGCCAGTCCAGTAGGAGGTGTACTTTTCCTATTCACGAAGAAAAACGCCATTAGTATCACCTTGGAATTGAGTGGTGTATATCATTACCCGCTGATTGATTTACATGACAAAAAATCGGTCGAAAATTGGGATAAAGAAAGGCAATTGTACGCAGGGGTTCCCTGGATGGCAACTATTGGTGACGTTATGCATACGTGCTTGCCAACTAAAGAAGTCGTGAAACTGACAAAAGATGACATCGTTTGGAGCCTCACATATTTGGATAACGCGGTCAAAATGGTACACAATTTCCGAGGATCCGATTGGAACACGAGTGAAGTCCAGGTGTTTGCCACGGACGTTCAACTCGAGGGTGGTGAGGCACATGCGGGCACTCCGATTATGGCCAAATTGTATTGGCATCTCGAGGTCACCGATGTGAAAAATATTCGAGCGAACAGTGCGACGGGGATCACGCATGAATTGGGGCACAATATGCAAAATCATCCGGCCACATTTAAGGACGGAATTGAAGTGACTAATAATGTGAACAATTTCCCAATTCGTGTGCATTTGATCAACAAGACGTCCTATGAATACGGGACGAAATGGGGTTTTTATCCCGGTGAAATGGATAGAACAATACAAGTATGGAACGGAAACAAGTATGTGGGAGTAAACCTCGGTTATTATAACTGGTTGGGAATACTGTTCGGTGAGGGATTATTGACTAATCTGTGGCATGATGCATGGGCTAATAGAGGCATGTTGAAAACCGAAGAGAGCAAGGTCAACTTCTGGCTAAGCAAGATGTGTCAGGAGACCCAGCACAATATCATCCCGTGGCAAGAGCTATGGAAGTTCCCGATTAAAGAAACTACCCGCATAATTTGCTCCAACTACCCTTGCTTCTTCCCCGATGATCAAGTAACACAAAAGGCACCGGAGTTAGTGCAGCAGGCAATTTCCAAGGTGCCCGGTGGTTGCGTTCGAAAACCTAGGAAGCAGGTGGCCAGCAAACACGACATAATGAAGGGCATGTACACGATTAGACCCCAGTG